TAATGTGGACGCAAATTATATTTCAGAGCTTAAGCACTAGGGAGAATTATCAGTGAATAATAACTAAAATATCAGTTTGTTCCACATAAAGCTGTAATATTGCTTTAGAAGACTTGGAATATGGCTATACGGACCACTTTTATGTTTTTGGAACGTTTTTGGTCACAATATAGCATCATTGTATGGCAAATAGATCAGTGCACATTGAGTTCATTAATTTTTTAAGGTAATATTAAGACGAAAAAAGAAGAAAAGGCTTTTCATAAAAAAAATAATAATTTGACTTGATTTTTCATGTGAACAGTTAGAAAATACATAAATACCCTGAATATTAGGGTAATATTAGGTCAAAGCATTTCTTAGTCCAGTTGTTTGATGAGAGAAAGAGACAATGTAGTTCAACTACATTTGAAGCTGTAGTAAAAATCTGTACAACTACAGCAGTGGATGTCTATTATTCCGATGATGGCACAGACTGGCAACGATCTTTGGTTGACCAATCAGCGGGAAGGGGGCGTGTCATGCCTGGACACATATGGAAATCTAATAATCAAGTGGTTTATCTAACTTTTCTTCTTTCAATACTCAAAGGGGTCATGAACTGAGAAATCAAAATTCCCTTGATCTTTTGATATATGAGATCACTGTACTATAAAAACATCCTGAAAGTTTCAGAGCTCAAAACTTCCTCATTAATCTAAAAACAGCTTATATTAAAGCGTCAGTAAGAACTTGGTCGACTTCATTTTACCACGGATTCAATGCACAATTCGACACAGGATTTTCAGAAAGAGTGAAACAAAAAGACGATGCTGTGTGGAATATATTGGATCTGAGAGTAATGTCACAATGTTTATAATGTGGTCACTATGGCTTTGTCTGTTATTACTGATCATTTGATATGTACGGAGTATTTATGCTTTTTTAACCTAAATCCCAGCAGTGTCCATCTATAAAGGATGTAGGCTGTCACAACTGTTAGCCAATCATAGCAGTGGCTGTTTACTTCTGAGTTTACAATCAGCCACGCCTATTAAAACGGAGCGTTTCCATAAGGGGGATCAAAACAGGACAGAAAATAGCCTATTACTGCTAAATTATGATGTTTTTTATGTAACAATCTTGATAACATTGTAAGTGGACCTCAGAGAACAATACAAAATAATAAATAATGTTCATGACCCCTTTAATAAAGGATCTTTCCTACACCTCAAACAATAGAGCGTGTCACAAGCAATGCCAAGGTCCTGGGTTTGATTCTCAGGGATTCCCAAGCACTGGTAAAATGTAAATGTGTGCTTCGCAATGCGAGTCACTTTGGATAAAAATGTCTGCCAAAATGCATAAATGTAAATTAAAAAAAAAAACAAATGACCCCACCCCAATGTGCACGGACCAAAATACCGGGTTCAAAATTCTTTCAAATCTCTTTGTGTTCCAGAAAAGAAGAAGAAGAAAGGAACCATAATAATAAAAATAACGTCAGAATTTCCATCCATGGGAGAACTATCCTTTTCAAAGAATTTTAGCAGTAAAACATTGCTTTAAATGCCGGCTTATAACTTTATAACAAATGGCAATTCAAAATAAATGGCAACTCTACATGAACATTGAGTTTCACCCTCTTCCATGAGCAGACCTGGGCCAGCTGGTTGGCTGTGGCTGGCAAACTCGGTCAAGGCAGGTGGATGGTTACGATTCCCACAAGGGGGACGCGTGAGGGGTACGGTGGGGTTAGTCTGAGGGATACAAGAGGGCTGCGGAGTGGCCTGCGGTGCAGGAGAAGGTGTGCTAATGCCAGTGAAAATCTGGCCCAACATCTGTAGCATCTGCAGCTCCCTGGAATGTTCCTCCTCCCTGCGTTTATCCTCGGCCTGAAGACGCTGCTCCTCGAGCCTGTAGAAGTTGTCTTCTGCTTCCATGCTCTGCTCCAAGAACTTCTCCATCAGCTTCTCCAGCGACATGTTCGCGAAGCGCTTCTTGCTTCTCCGTGGCCTGCTGGACGTGGCTGCCGGCGGGTTGGTCTTCGTCAGGCTGCTCTGTTTGGTTGGAAACGAACCTTCGAGAGAAGAAAACACGACTATTAACACACACACACACAACATGGGAAACCAGACTGATTAGGCTAAAGACGGCAGATCATTGCTTTCTGACGGATCGGAATAAGTTGACATACTCATGCCTCCCACTGTCACCGGAATGGGGCAGGATGGGTACTCAGTTTTGACCGGATGCTCCATAAAGGAGCATTCACCACTGCCATCCATGTGAGCCTCCTGCAAGAGTTCAGTACTCTCAGCATCTTCATCCATCGTTTCATCTCCCCCAACAGCGACACTATCAATATCCTGCCTTTCTAACAAGGATCTATTGCTCAATATCCTCTCCATCTCGTCGTAGAACTTGCACATCTTGTGGTACTGCCCATTTTTCCTGGATCCCTCCTTCGCTTGGAAATACTGCCTCTTTAAGCTCTTAACCCGTATTCTGCATTGGTCTGGCGTCCTATCGAAGCCCAGTTCGCACAAACGGTTCGCGACGTCTCGGTAAACGTGGCTGTTCCTAAAGTTCCCGTCCAGCGCCGTCTGCACGTCGTGCTCACCCCAGATATTCAACAGCGCTCTGGTCTCCATGTCCGACCACAGGAAACCGCGCGTTGCATTCACCAACATGATGGCCGAAGCAACCGAGTCCGTACGCAAGTCGGCTTCGCATCGATCAGGCGGCGAGATCTAGGCCTTGTTTTCACGACGTTTCACGCCGTTTCCGAGTGCATCGCGACAGCGGCCTCGTCGTGATTAACGGAGCTGCTTTATGCAAAGCTGCTCAACTTCGCCAGTGTTTACCGCGCCAACAACAGCGAGAACGTCACCGCAGTGTTGTGTACTACGTCACCACAACCTTGCGCTTCTTGGCTCAGCGATGAAAGATTGAGATTCAATATCGCCGAGAACACATTTAGGAAACAGCTTCGATTTGTAAGCTCGGTTTATTGTGCTCGGGGTTTGGAAACGCGAGTTATGCTTGAGAGTTCGAGTCAACGAAACCGATAATAAAATGACAAAATACAGTGCGGTCCACAAACTTCTAGCGTGATAACAACATGCGATTCAACTTGAACCTGATAATAGCTTAAATGGATGCACGATGTCGAATAAACACATTTGTGACATGTGAACACCTCTGGAATCATACTGGACAACACAAATGATCAGCCTTTGCACAAACTCGTGGAGTTCGCTCGAAATACTTGTAATTACATTAAAAATGCATTCAATTAGAAACCAGGGGAAGCACTTGGACCCCACTGTATGTGTATCCTGTGGCACCCGACTCTGCATTTACCTTCATCATACAGCAACACTGCTGCAACTGTAATGATTACATTTCAGTCCATGCATTCCGTGCCTCTCAACCTACTGATAGTTAGATAGACTCCGATCTTACCAAGTGCCAGACTTAGTGGCTGTTCAGAGAAAATGAAGGCAGCACGTTTGAGAAGATTCATCAAGTTCTCGGGGAAACACACACTGTTCAGGAGGAGAGTGAGAGCTGTGGCGCTTTGTGCGGGGAGTATCTGCAGCGTCCAGTCAGAGAACAGGAACAAAGTTCAGGATGAGTTCTGATTATAGTTCTGTTGTGCTACACGACTTCACGCGATCAGACACAAACAGAAGAGCTGCCCTCTCTCTATAACCACCAGACTTCCGCTGACGCTCTGCTTATGCGTCGTGACACAAGCGAAATTCAGTCCACATTTGACATGAAATAAACCCAAGTCAGTGCTGCCCAACTGTAGCGAAGCCTGGCTACAGTGATATTAAAAACGGCAATAGCTGCGATATTCATTTAGCCCCGCCTTTGCCGTTCACTTCCTGCGACGCCTGCACTGGAGTCTAAACCTACCAATACTAGGGGGTGCATAATTTGGCAGGGTGCAAATTTCGGCACTACAACGGCAATAGCTGCGATATTCATTTAGCCCCGCCTTTGCCGTTCACTTCCTGCGACGCTGGCACTGGAGTTAAATTGCTCCGCCCACCGAAGTCTGAGTCATTTAGGCGAATCGGTTCGTTTGAACAATCCATTTCAAAGAACAAGTTACAAAAGTGATTCGGAGATTTTCTTTATGGCATAGCGCAAGTGAAATGTTTGTGAGTGCAAGAGTAATCACTTTTAAAGCACTGTTGCGAAATCTTATGTATAGATTTATCTGCCGGCTAAATGCTTAAAAAAATGAGATTATTGGGGGGTCTATGAAATATAAGGGTTAGTACTACACGGTATCAGTCACAGCTGTGGAGACATTGGTATTGTTGTATTTTGTAACTTTTTATTGTGGTGGTAGATGCTGTGGGTTGTATGTGTTGTCCTATTGTCTTGTCTTTTTTATTTTTTTATTTTATTTGAACCTTGAGTCTGTAATAAAGATTGATTGATTAACGCTAGGGCCTAATCGTGTCACCATATGATCTCGGGCATCCCAGCATAGCCTTACATATTCAAACAGACCTTTTACAATGTAAGTTGTATATTATTGTATCCCCCCGTGTCCCAGTTTATTACGTTGCAGTCGTCCTTCAAATTATAAAAAAAATTAAGTCACACAAAAGTCCTATTGTCTTGTCTTTTTTATTTTTTTATTTTATTTGAACCTTGAGTCTGTAATAAAGATTGATTGATTAACGCTAGGGCCTAATCGTGTCACCATATGATCTCGGGCATCCCAGCATAGCCTTACATATTCAAACAGACCTTTTACAATGTAAGTTGTATATTATTGAATCCCCCCCGTGTCCCAGTTTATTACGTTGCAGTCGTCCTTCAAATTATAAAAAAAATTAAGTCACACAAATAATTCTTATTTACATGAAACAATAATAAAATTCATTTTAAAACAGTGTGGTGTTTTTTGTTTTTTTTTGGCTCGAGTATCGCTAGAAGTGATTCAGTCCGATTTGAGAACAAATGGTTTTGCTCAAACGATTCTTAGAGAAGATTTGACTCAAAAGAATGATTCGTTGGCGAATCGGACAGCGCTGCTGTTAAACCCGACTTGAAAGTTCTGTAGTTAGACAATCGGCGTCGTTACCAACGACTATATCGGGGGAAACACACGAATGTGGTCTATTTCGCCAAACTGTGGACGGAGCCCGTGAGACTGCAGGTGAAGAGAGCATGCGTTTAAAGCGCTGAGAGCGGGAGCTGGGTGGTTGATATGGCGATGTCACCTGTGAGAGTAGAGTCTGCGTGAGCGGCGTGTGTTTGGAGACATGTCTCGAGCCTCAAGGACCAATAAACCCGACGTGAAAGTCGTTATTCTGGGGGACATGTACGTGGGAAAGACTTCTCTCCTCCACAGATACACGGAGAGGAAGTTTAAGGACACTATAAGCACGGTCGGAGGGGCGTTCTTCCTCAAACAGTGGGGACCCTACAACATTTCCATATGGGACACTGCAGGTGGGCTTTTTACACTCTATTTAGTAAAACGGAGCACAAAGCACAATAACATGCTATTACAGTGTGTTTTGCAAAAGCTGTGTGTAGAAGAGATTACCAAGTCAGCTGACCTAGCTAAATAAATAAACACACTGTTATAATTTCAGATGAAAGTGGTATCAATCATATCTGTGTTTTATTTGTGTGTGTTTCCTGAAGTTCTGCTTCATATCTGTTGGTGTTTGTTTTAGGTCAGAACTGCTTTCTCACAGTAATAGTGATGTCCTTTTTTATTTTGTGATGTCCTTTTTGTTTCTTAGTCAGATGGTATGTTTAAGAACTGGCCCTGTCATGGGCTAAGTTTACTTGGCCTACTTTTTAAATATATATATATATATATATATATATATATATGTATATGTCATATGGATACAGTGAGAGTGAGTTTTATTTAATCTGCACATTTCACCTTCCTTTTATGTAAATGAGTAAACCTGAAGATAAATGTTTTTGGTCAATGTTTGAAAACTTCACCCATTAAAGGCAATTATTTAACAAGCCTTTTGGACTCTTGTATAATAATAACACTCAGATGTTATTAATCGAATACGGATGACACAGGAATTAACAATGTATATAGATAGAAATATGAATACAGATGATACAGAAATATCTATCTATCGATCTATATCTATCTATCTATCTGTCTCAAATGTAAAAAGGATGTATTTTCTCAGTCATTTCCTGTGAAATTTTATCCTGTTCAGATGACATATGACCCCGTGTACAGCTGTTTGCTTTCTTAACAGGCAAAAAGTCACATGCTTGTGTGCAAGTCAGATGAGTGTGTATTGAATCTGTGTGTGTGTGTGTGTGTGTGTGTGTGTGTGTGTGGAAGCTAAAGATTTCACAGGTCACTCATGAGTGGGGGTTTAAGAGGGATGAAGGATGTTCACAGTTAAATTAGGAAGTCACGAAGCTTTTTTTATTCTCAGTTTTGAATGTGGCCTTCTTTGTGTTTAGTGGAAAAACCTGAATTTCCAAAAAAATAAGTACTAAGCATGCAGAGTGTCATTATATGAGCAAAATGACATGTCAAAATGTTATTCCTTTTGTTTTATTTATTAGATCGAACGACCCACCCCCTCTCTGCCAAAGTTCCGTAACTTAAGTCCGTATATATATATATATATATATATATATATATATATATATATATATATATACTGTGTATATATATATAATTGTAATACACAAATAACGAATAACAATAATTTTGATCTAAACTAAATTTGAATCTAAACCAAACTGAAGCCCTAATCTGTTCTGTGATTCTCCTTCCATGAATGTTAAACTGGTGCACAATATGTAACAACCTACAGTGCAGCAACTGATATTATGCACCCACAGCAAAAACTGTGTGGCCAATTACATCCAGCTGAATAGTGAGTATTTGGCAAAAAGAGCAGGAGAGATTAACATTAACACCCGCCACCCAGATTTCAGCAGTGGCGTGTAACACAGTCACTCCTGCTAGCTACTTTGGCGGGTTAAATTTCATATACAATAACAGAGCTCGACATTAATGCTTGTCTGGTACAAGTGGATTTTTAAAATAATTTTACTTGCCTAACAGTACACCGTACCTGATTAAAAACATCTAACAAGGGAAGCACCAAAATTACGGCAAGAATTATTCTGATTTAGTACATTTTTCTTGTAGCTAATCGGCAATTTATAGCCTAATGGATTGTCTGTATGTGAGAGAATCTCATGGAGAAATCAAAACAAATGGACACAACTGGGTTAAAAATTTAGTTTTTATATTTATAACATATGATATAGACTACTTAAGCAACATGACACGACCAAGAGAGTACTGTTTCCCTGAAATCCAGTATTATTGCTGATTTGAAATTTATTTCATGCAATTTTAATGAGTTAATATTAAGTGCTTTATATCAAGTACACAATATTGTCAGTGTAGACTATTTTTGCTCAATTTTGTTAATAAAATACTCCCAAACAAAGATCACAGCAGAACAGTTGCGCATCTCAGAGCAACACATTACTGAATAATTCTGCGTTTTTGAATGAATTGAGTAAATAATTCAATGACCCATTTATAAAGACAGACACTTGCTGTTTTCTTGAATGAATTAGCCGTCTGAATTAATAATTTAAATGAATGACTCACTCATTAAGGCAGTCACTTGCTGCCACCTACTGGTGGTGTACTTTCATATTTAAAAGTAGCTTTTTGTATTCATATTGGTACATTTCACATTGGTATATATATATTAAAAAAAAGGTTTAAAACACACAAAATTATTTATGCAGTTGTATTTTTGCAGTGTAAATGCATTCATACAACATTTCAGCATCATTAAACTGTATGTATAAATCAGGGGTGTCCAATCCTGCTCCTGAAGGGCCACTGTCTTGCACTGTTAAGATAAGAGCAGACAAACTAATCCAGCACAAGTTAGTGCATAAAAAGTCACCAAAATGAAATATTGGAACCTAATAATTAAATATAAAAGGTCCACTTTTTGAAAAAATAATCTCGATCTCTCTCATGCTGCATGTCACAACTGGAGCTGCTTTTAGCAGGTGTGTCATTAACTCTGGTGTTTTTTCCACTAAAACTTTGATGTGCATCGTCATTACGTCAACTTAACAAAAGATATGATCGCAAAACAAGCAGGAAAAAAGGCATTACATGCACATTTTTAAGTCATAACATGTAAATTTATATAGACGCCAGTGGCGATCTCAGCAAAAATGTCACTCGCAAATTAATATTTTTGTTTAATAATATTAACATTTTAGTCGCAGTCTGGAGCCCTGCTGTATCATTTTTGATTCATGAATTTCTAAGGCCTCTCATGATCAACATAACTTCTACATGCCTTTTGCCATCTGATAGATATTTTTTTAGCAATAATATGGCTTTTAGTAAAATCTAAAAATTAGGGCTGGGTAAAAAAATATCGATATTAATCGATTCTCATTTATACGGAACTATATTGATTCTTAAATCCCAAGAATCGATTAGTCTAGCCTGTTTTCAGTTAATGGACGGAACGTTGAAGGGCACTTCCCATCCAATATATTGCAATAGGCATTGTGCTTTGGTACTTATAATATGAAACAAAGTCTCAGATTATGTCCATTGTATTGCAATATTCAAACAATAAATGCCATTTTGGCGCTTTTTAATGTGGAGTGACAGATTGCTGTAGCGCCTCAGTTCAACAGACGCAGAAGCGCGTAGCGCACATGAACTAATCATCTCCTCTATATTAATACCAGCTACAGCACAAAATAAACATGACTAAACATACGAAGGTAAGTTAAAAGAAAGCGTACAACTTTACAATCCATATCCTGTCTCATGTAATCGCTCAATCTGTGTTTCAGCTGCACAAATACGTCAATATAACGTCTTGTAAACAATGACATGCAACGTCACATTTACCTCAGAAAAACATATTTGGTGACCATAAACTCATTAGTCAGATAGAAAAATAAACTGTAGAGAGGGACATTTTGCTAAATGTATGCACCATATTACATATTCATTATAAATGTTTACTGTTCTTCAATGTTTAATTTATGTTTGAATAAATCCATCAAGTTTTTATGACAGCCACCATTGTTTATATTTAAAAATATTATTTAATAATATTATTGTTATTGTAACTATTATTTTACAGTTTTTCTCGATTGCTTGAACACATTTCTTGAAACTATGCCTCGTATTCTTAAAACAGTAAACACAAATCCATAACGTCTCACCCAATTCCCCAAACATCCTATTTTCAGGTCAAAATGAAGCTCTACACTCAAAACCATTCACTCTTGCTGAAAAACCAAACTTTTCCCTCAGACATCACATCACACACAAGCTTTCAAAAACACACACACTACAACATAGTATTACACACTAGTGCAATCAATTCAAACCAATATATCCAAAACTGGTAAGTTATGTTGCTTGTGGTTCTCCCCCTCAAAAACCTTTTTACATGAACACAAAAGACACAACCAATCTATACACTGGCACATTTTTATTCATTCATGTACTATAGAGCACAACTGTTAAAAAAAAATATTCTGCCTCAGCATCCCGTCTTTGTTCTGGGTCAAGCCAGAGAATCTCGTCCACATCACAGGCTATATTGGCCCTAGCCAGGCAGCGAGGGTAAAATCCTCTTGCATGCCTGATCCACCCCTGCCATGCATCTACTGATATGTCTAGGCAGGTTTCTTCCATGGCCTGGAGGAGGTGAGCACGGATATAAGGTTCTCAGTCATACACTTTCCACCGCCATGACGAAAAAAACTCCTCTATCGGGTTTAGAAAGGGAGAGATGTTAGAAAACCTCAGGTTATTGGTAAACTAGTCACTAACCAGAGCAGCACATAGTGACATTCCCTCCGCACTGACCAGGGACATATAGCCCGATGGCCAATTATGTTCCTCCCCCTTCTCCTTCTTTTGGTCAGGTTGAAATCAGCCTCATCCACAAAGATAATTTCATGGGGAACAGGCCGGCCTTCAATCTCAAAGATTCTCTGCAAAACACATGAAACACAGTAGAGTAAATCACTGCCCTGAAGCACAGTTCAAGAGGGCACAAATGGCAGAATAAACTGCTATACTGTGATGGTACACAATACTTCATACGATATCAAAACTCATACCTGAACATATTCCACTCGTTGGTCTTTCACTCTGTCAGAGTTTCGTTCGAAAGGGACGCAGTACACCTGTTTCATCCGGAACCGGTGCTTTCGGAGGATACGATCAATTGCGGAGAGGCTGATGGCATTTATCCCTCGAAAATGACGATTATCCTCAATCACTCTCCTTTGAATCTCTCGCAGGCGGATTACATTATTGGCAAGGACCATGTTTACAAGCTCCCTCTCTTGCTCCTCCGACAAAAGCCTTAGCCTGCCTCCACAAGGTGGTCGTCTCTGTGTCCTACAAAAATAGAAGCACTCATTACTGTAACTGTCACACATCCTTTTTACAGGGAAAAAATGGAAACATACTGAAACTCTATCTGTATGCAAGGCAATTTGATGCATTTCTTTATTACAGTAGCATAGTGCAACAGTGTATGCACTCTAAAGTTACTGAACAGAGCAGTCTTACTGTAAGTACACCTACCCATTTTCCTCCCTGAAGGTACTGATGATGGAGGCGATGGTGAAGCGACTCAAATTTGGCTGTACTCGTTGCCCAGCCTCCCTCATAATCATACCATGGACAAGGACATGGTCAACTAAAGTGGCTCGAATTTCATCTGAGACTGCTTGTCTCCTTGCCCTTCTTC